TCCACATTAGACACTTCCTACGATCACAATTCTATAGGGGAAGATGATTATTATTAATAATATCATTAGTAACTTATTTAAAAGTGCCCGTTCGGGTGGACGTTACGGATCCCGCGGCACTATTCGAAAAGAGGAGGGGGTCCATCTCCGGGAACGGCGCAGTGCGCAAACTGGCTGCCGCGTTTCTCCCACGAACACCGAGCGACCGCGCTTTTTAACAGTATATGCCACGAGACGTCCAATCCGAAATGTTGATTCTTTCGAACGCAGTTTTCCTTTAGGAAATAACGTTATAGGACATAGGGAGTTCGGGACATACGTGCATGCGACCGCCAGGAAGGTGAACGAAACGGACCTTGGTCTTTTTCTTGTCTAGCTTTTCTTACGTTCTTATATCAAATGTAAGGATTATTATTATTATTATCCCCCAATTTGTGGAGTCCTGTAGCTCAGTGGTTAGAGCACTCGCTTTGCAAGTGAGAGACCTGAGTTCAATTCCAGGCAGAGGGCGAAACCTTGGGCAAGTTTCCTTACTCCACACAGAGCCTAATAATAATCCCTCCAAAACCAAACAATAATAAATTGGTCATTTTCAATCTACAACTGTTTGTGGGACATTGCTGTGCGCAATTGGCTGCCGCGTTCACCCACAAATATACAGTCAATTCACTTTACAGTGTGTTCTGTGAAGCGCTTTGGGACGTCCTTCCGATGTGAAAAGCGCTATATCAAATGCAAGGATTATTATTATATTATTATTATAATCCAATGCTTTGCTAGGCTTCAGATCTCACCCCAACTCGGTCAAGGGGAGGGAGGGAGAGAGAGAGAGAGAGAGAGAATTACATTAAGGAAACAAATTTCTCCATTAAAAACTCAAGAGCTTTGACTTAACCTGGCATTTCCTGACATCTGGTCCACACATGAAATCAGACGGTCTAACGCTTGGCCGAGGACAAAGTTTGCCAGAGATTCCAGCCTCCGGATTTCCACGATTTCTCCTAACCACGGCACGTGGTATTACCACCAGTGATAATCGTTGCATCGCCCGACAACATTAACCCCCGCGTTTGCTTTTGAAACGTCTGTAAAGAGCAGTTTGTAATGTATAATTTATATTATAATTCATAATATAATGAATTATAATACAGAATATACTGTAAAGTGTAGTGACTGTGTTTTTTGGGGGACGAAACGCGCCCACAAAATACAAGGGCGAAATGCAAGGATTATTATTAAAGGCAACAAATTGTATTTGTATAGCTCCTTTCAGGTCGGGAGGACGTTTCAAGATGTTGGATGGACAGTCAGGGATTGGGACCCGAGCTGGGGGCTGGAATCAGGACGGGGGGGGGGGGGTGGAAGACAGGGAGGGTGGGGATAGGAGAGTGACCGAAGGCACTCGGAGGGTCTTGAGACGGGATTTGAAGGAGGCAAGAGAGGGGGAGAGGATAAATCTCTATGAGGTCCTCTCTGAGTCGCCTTCCCTCATCCAGGACTTGATGTCCGACAGGCAGTCGGACATCAAGTTCAAAGAGGGAATGGCGAGAGAGAAAGGAGCGGAGCTGGGACGCGACGACTCATTCCAGGACCTTGGAGAGGAATGGGAGGATAGAGATGGGGCGGAAGCTGGAGAGGAGGGATGGATCCGGGAAGGTTTTTTCAAGATGGGGGTGATGACAGCTGTTTTTAGGGGGGGTTGGGAACTGAACCGGTGGACAAGGAGAGCTTGACGACATCGGACAGGAGAGGGGACAGAAGGTGAAGCTGGGAGACGAGGAGAGAGGTGGGGATGGGATCGAGGGAGCAGGTGGTGGGTTTGAGTTTGCGGACAGTCGTGGTGAGGGACAGATAGGTTCGAAGGAATATAGGGGGGGGGGATGCGTCAGTAGGGAGCGGTGATGTGGGGGTGGTTGTGGACGGGGCTGAGGTGGCTGAACAAATCCCCTCGATTTTAGATTCGAGGAAGTCCAGCATCTCCTCGCAGTTGCAGTTTGAGAGGATGGGCGAGGTACGGGAAGGTGGACGGAGGAGACGGTTAGTGGTGGAATAGAGAAGCCTGGGGTTGTCCTTTGCCTCCAAGGTCACCTTGGAGGAGAAGGAGGATTTGGCGGAGGCAAGAGAGCAGCGGTAGATCCCTCCTCCTCTCTCGCCCACTCTTTTGTCAGTCTTCAGGTCCCACCCGAAGGCCTTCCTCTTCGACCACGCTCACGGTCACCTCCCCTCTCACGGCCTCCCCCCACCACCAATGTTAAGCGCTCCGAGATGCCGCCCAGCGTAAGTTATTTGGACGCCAGACAGATTTCCGCGGGTCACGGAATCAGAGACTGTTACAGCACAGGAGGAGGCCAATTCGGCCCATCTTGTCCGCGGCGGGCCAGAGCTACCCAATCAGTCCGCCACTCCCCACCCCTCTTACCCCCAGACCCTTGCAAAAAAAAAAATGTCCCTTTCAAGTCCCTATCCAATTCCCCTTTTGAAAGTCGTTCTCGAATCTGATTCCACACCAGCTTTTCAGGGGGTGCATTCCAGACCGTAACAACTCTCTGGGTTAAAAAATAAAATAAAATGTCTCCTCGTCTCTCATCTCCCCTCTGGTTCTTTTGCCGATTAATCTTCAAAAGACTCGACTTCTATTTTATAATAATAATCCTTGCATTTGATATAGCGCTTTTCACGTCGGGAGGACGTCCCAAAGCGTTTCACAGAACACACTGTAAAGTGAATTGACTGTATATTTGTGGGCGAACGCGGCAGCCAATTGCGCACAGCAATGTCCCACAAATAGTCGTGGATTGAAAATGACCAATTTATTATTGTTTTTGGTTTTGGAGGGATTACTATTAGGCTCTGTGTGGAGTAAGGAAACTTGCCCAAGGTTTCGCCCTCTGCCTGGAATTGAACTCAGGACTCTCACTTGCAAAGCGAGTGCTCTAACCACTGAGCCACAGGACTCCGAAAATAAAAGGCAAAGCAACGAATTGGAGAGAGAGAGAGAGAGAGAGAGAGGGTGGGAGTACAGAGAGACAGAAAGAGAGGGACAGAAAGAGAGAGAGAGACTAACTATTTGGCCCGAGTGTCGCTGAGATCCACTTACAAACGGGGCAGGTGTGAAAGGACCAGTCTCTCCCTCACTCAGTGCAATGCTCAGCTGTCACTGCCCTCACAGCTGGTGTTTCAGCTGTGAAACACGCGAAAAAATATCATTGTCAGTCACACCTGTCACGCGAGGCACAGGCACACAACACCCAGAGCCGCTTCACAAAGGAGCAGCGCGTTCCCTTATTCATAGCTATCCTCAAGGCACTGGCTCACACTGGCAAGCGCTGGTGAGTGATGATAATAATAATAATAAATAATAATCCTCGCATGTAATGCAGCCCCTTACCACGTCCTCGAGGCGTCTCAAAGCGCTTGGCAGAGTACACCGTCAAGTGAGCCGGCTGGGATATCTTGTGGGCGGAATGGCAGCCGATTGCGCACGGCAGCTTCCCCCACGAACAGCCGTGGGTCGGAGTGACCAAATGGTTATTATTTTTTTTTATTCTTTATTTTTGAAGGGATTATTACCGCAGGAAAAGCGATCCACCAGTCGGGTGACTGCTAGGTAAACGAAGGTGTGTGCGCGCGCCTGTGTGTCTGTGAGTAAGAAAACTTGCCTAAGGTTTCGCCCTGACCTGACCTGTCCTGTCCGGGAATCGAACCCGGGTCCTCCCGCTTGGTGGGCAGAGGGGAAGGGTCTTCCTCCCGGCATGACATCTGGTGCTCGATCCCCAAAGGCAATGCAAGCCTGGATAGGTCTGGCGCCTCCCTCAATTATGTGGCTACAGGGAAGCGAAACGATGCCTCCAGCGAGGGCCTCGGAGCATTTCTCACACGAGAGCTCTACAGCATAATGCGAGAGAGAGAGAGAGAGAGAGAGAGAGAGAGAGAGTGCAATAACAGGTTTCAGTGAAACTACTTCGAAACCCATCAGTGGCACCTTTCCCTGTACAAAATGTACATGCCAATGACTATATAGAGCGGTCCAACCAGTATAACCTCTCACACACACTCACACACACACCAAGAGATTTTTTTTTTAGGGTCTGAACTAAAGCGAAGCACCGGAATTTGCAAAGATTAGGTCTTAGGTTTAATAATAAATACTTGCAGCGCCTTACCCCGCCGTACAGACCAAACAGATGCTTTGGGAGTCCTGTCGCGGTCAGAGCACTCGCCTCGCAAGCGAGAGGACCCGGGTTCCATCTCCGGGCCGGGCGAAACGTTGGGCGAGTTTCCTCGCCCCACACACAACGTCTCGGTTTACCCAGCAGCAAGTCGGAACCCTATTGATCGATTGGTGGATTCCCTTTTCCAGGAGGGGGGGGGTAATAATTCCCTTCAAAAAAATAAATCAAATACAATCATTTGGTCACTCAACCCACGACGGTGTGTGGGACACCACTCTGCACAATTGGCTGCCGAGTTGCGCCAACAAAACGCACCTTAAAGTCTTACCTGCTGCGAGGCGTTTCGAGACGTCTAAAGAAAGTGATGAAGCTCTATATCAAATGCAAGGATTATTATTATTATTATTATTACAAATGGCATTGACACGGCGCCTTTCACGGCGGGAGGAAGCCCCAAGGCGCTGGACGGTCGAGGGTGTGCTCCTGAGCTGGCGTTCGGGATCAAGCGAGGTGGTGGAAGGATGACTCGAGCATTGGCTTGAGACGAGACGTCTCAACGCGCTTCGCAGGATTTACTGTAAAGTTGTGGTGATGTGTGTACACTTCACGGACAAATGCGGCAGCCAATTTTGTGCACGTCAACGGAACCAGTCAAGGACAGGAAACAGTGGACTTGCGCTGGGAAAATAATTCAGAGCAAAAAAAAAAAATCACAAGAGACTTTGTCCTTTTTTTTTTTCCCCAGGACCCCAATTGTAGCGGCAGTTCTGAGAGAGAAAGGGAGGGAGAGAGAGAGAGAGAGAGAAAAAAACACTCGATACATTGGGAGAAATTCCCTATCGTTTTATCTTCCGTGCGATTTGATACAGTGATTCCCTATTTATTTCTTGGTCTTGCTTTTCCCCTCTGATGCCTTGACGATGGTCAGTTGCTTGGCCATGTTGGCGTTGGCTTTGACGGTGATATCGTGCTCGATCTTCTTCCTGATCGCCACCTCCAGGTTCTGAGGGAAAGCTAAAGACGTCAGTCGCCGGGCTCTGTAAACCGCCGAGAAAAGCAAGGCCTGGAGCCACTGGGCGCGGAGATCGGGAAACGCGAGCGATCCACAGGGAAAGGACGCTTGAAACTCAGTGCCTTCCGATCCACATGGCGCGCGCTCTCTCTCTCTCTCTCTCTCTCCAAAGCTTTTTTTTTTACAATTGCAATTAGTTCCCCAAATCTTCGGATCGTGTCTAATAAAAGACCTTCCTCTTCGACCGTGCCTGGGGTCGCCCTCCTCCATCTCCCTCCCGTCAGCTCGGTATCGTTCCTCAGCCCTCTGGGGCGCTACGCTTCTCACACCCGAACCCCACCACCCGCAGCCTTGCGCTCGACTGGCTCCGGCCTCCTCCATTAATCCCCCGCGACCTCCTCCGCTCCGCCATCAGCCGCACCCCGAAACTCTGGAAAACACTGCCCTCAATCCCTCCACCGCGCACTCTCCTTCCTCATCCCACCCTCCCTCCCTCCCTCCCTCCTCCAACTCGCACCCTCCTTCCTCGTGCTCCGCCACTGTCAAGCGCTCCGGGGCGCTATCCTGCGCGCGGTGTGGGGGGGTTCGCTGTGTAAGTGCAAGTTGTTGTTGTTATCGTTGAGGCAGAACGGGCTCAACACCGCCGCCCAAGTCAACAGACCAACAGCGGTGACTAAACCCAGCTCCGACACCGCAGCACGTGACTCAAACCGGAGTCGGAATTCCGGCTTCGACCAACCAACCGGAATTCTGTCCTGTAGTTCGGCGGTTAAGAGCGTTCGCCTCGCGAGCGAGAGGACCCGGGTTCGATTGCCGGGCGGGGCAGGGCAGGGCGAAACGTTGGGCAAGTTTCCTTACTCCACGCACGCCTCTGCTTACCTAGCAGTAAGTAGGAACCTGGTTGTTCGTCGAGCGGCAACTGGCTTTCCGGCGGTAACGATTGCTCCCCAAAACATCTGTCAAATAACAATTTCTTCCCCGAATCCACGACTGTTTGTCAACCACCGCTGAGCGCAATCGGCTGCCGCGCTTCGCCCGCAAACTTCACAGTCGATCCAACTCGCGGCAGGTTCCGTGAAGCGCTTCGAGACGTCCCGAAAAAAAAAATTACTGTTATTTTGAGACCTTTTCCTGTTGCGGAATCGCTCGGCAATACCCAAAGGGGAAGCGGGGGGGGAGAATGAGACAGCTGTGCTCGCCCGCAGGAGGGTTTTGGCTGAGCTGAAGTCTGGCGTCTGCTTTTAGTTCCCGGTGCAGACGAGCTTCCACCCAAAATTCCAGAGGGCAAAGCGAGGGGAGAGGGGGAGACCGCCGTTTCAGTCACTACCGACCGGACCAGATGAGGCAACGATGGGGAACGTGGGTGCTAGCTCCCTCTAGTGGTGGTTCAGAGGGATCGCTGCAGCGCTCGACTGCTCTCCGATCACCTTCGGGCGGAAGGGCCGTCGACCTGAAACGCGAACCCATTTTCCTCTCTCCGTAGATGCTGCCTGACCCGCCCTGTGCTCCCAGCCACTTGCGCTTTTATTTCAGCATCTGCAGCATTTTGCCCTCACTGCTCCAATCGTGTACGTTTGACCCGTTAGGGTTAGATACACACAAGGGAGATGGGAATAATAATAATAATAATATTAATAATCCTTGCGTGTGATATAGCGCCTTAGCGCACCATTGGGACGTCGCAAAGCGCTTCACAGAATATACAGTAAAGTAAATTGACTGTGTATTTTGGTGGGCGAAACACGGCAGACAACTGTACACAACAACAACTTGCCTTTACCCAGCCCTCTTCACACAGGTTAGATTCCCGGAGAGCTTGATAGTGGCGGGGTCTGACCCCCGAGCCAGTGTGACCAAATTATTATTAATTCTTCTCATTTTTTTCTTCTGCAAGGGATTACTACCCCCGGAAAGCGATCCAACTGCGAATCGACTAACAACCGGGTTCCTACTTACAGCAAAATTGCCTAATGTTTCTTGGTCCAACTAATGTATTATATTATTATTGTTGTATTAGGTTTACAAGGATGTTACAGTGATGACTGGATATTACTGTCGAGAAAGACTGGACAGAACAGCACTTTTCTCTCTGGAGTTGAGGCGACTGAGAAAGGATCTGTTCGAAAGGTTATGAAAGGACTTGATAAGATTAATAGACTGTTGGTGAGTCCAAAACTGGAGGGTGTAAATATACGGTAGCCAGTAACAGATCTAATAGGGAGCTTAGGAAGAAATTCTTCACACACAAAGACCTCCAGTAGGTCCCTCATCCCCTCCGTTCCACCATCGTTGGCCCTATCTTCAGCCACTATCCCCCGAAACTCTGGAACACTCTTTCTCTATCCCTCCGCCTCTCTCCCCACTTCCTTCCCATTCGACCGTGCTTACAGTCAGCTCCCGCCTCCCTCCCTACCCCCGGCTTGGGGTCGTGCTCCGCCACTGCCAAGCGCTGTGGGACACTACCCTGCGTGAGGGGCCCTGGGTAAATAAATGCAAGTTGTTGTTGGTGATGGTGAGAATGCAGAACTCACGGCTGCGAGGTGCGGTTAAAGCAGAAAGCATCGATGTGATTATATAAGAGGAAACTGCATACATGAGGCAGAGGGGAACCGAGGGGTGTAGGAGAAGTGGGGACTTGTGTGAAATACAAACACCGGCGTGGACTAGTAAAGATGAACCATCTGTTTCGGCATAGTAATAATAATAATAATCCTTGCATTTGATATAGCAGCTTATCGCGTCGCTGAGACTTCTCAAAGCGCTTCACAAGATATTCTGCAAAGCGAAGCGACTGTGTATTTTACGGGCAAAACGCGGGCAGCCAATTGCGTACAGCAGCGTCCCCGCAAACAGCCGTGCATCGAGTGACCAAATCGTCATTATTTTTGTATTTAAAATTTTGATGGGATGATTACTCCTGGAAAAGCGATCCGCCAAGTAATCCTTGCATCTGATATAGCAAAAACAACCGGGTTGCTACTTACTGCTCGGTAAACAGGGCATGAGTGTGGAATAAGGAAACTTGCCCAACTGTTCGCCCCATGCCCAGGAATCGAACCCAGGTCCTCTCGCTTGCGAGTGCTCTAATACTAAACTACAGGACTCCATTTCGTAGACAAAAGGCCAAAAAAAAAGCCAAGAAGAAGTACCTTCTTCAGCTTCTGCTGTCGGACCACTTGTGTTTTTTTGGGAGCAATAATTCTTCCTTTGAATAAAAAAAGAAAGGGAAAAAAATGTGAATTTAACGTAACAGGAAACGGCAGCTGGGAGACACAAATCAACAGCAACAATTTATAATAATAATCCTTGCGTTTGATACAGCGCCTTATCGCGTCTTCGAGACGTCTCAAAGCGCCTCGCGGGATAAACTTCGCAGTCGGGTGAATTGACGGTGTATATTTTGTGGGCAAAACGCGGCAGCCAATTGCACACAGCAGCGTCCCACAGACGGTCATGGATTGAGCGGCTGCGTTATAATTTTGTGTACCACCTAATGCTCTGTGTGGATTTACATCATAGCAGTCCCTCCTCCTGTATATTATACAGGCGCCTCAGCGCGCTCAATGGGGACAGGGCTTTTTGACACCCAGCCGGCGGGGGGGCGGGGGGAGGGGGAATAGAGGGGGAAAGATTGTGTGAGAAAGAGAGGTGGGGGGAATGTGGGATAGTGACTCGCAGGAACGGGCGAATCGCACAGTCTTTTGGGTCTTCCGTTCAGTCGGAGTGGGCACCCGGACGAACGTCTCAAAGCGCTTCGCGGGGATATCCTGTACAGTGTAGTGACTGTGCGCTCTGCGTGCCCGTTCGCACACGCAGCAGCGTCCCGCGAACAGCCGTGGGTCGAGCGGCCGATTTGCTTCCCTCTCTCTCTCTCTCTCTCTGCGTTTTGTCCACAAACACACACACGCACTACACACACGATAAATACACACACACGTGTGTGCACACACATATGTACACACATGTGCACACACATATTGCACACACACGGGCCTTTCTCCCTCTCCCCGCCATGGTACGCGCTTCTCTCCTCCCTCTCCCCTCACCTCCCTTCTTGGGCCCGCGGCTGTGCTGCTGCAGCTTCTTATCGCCCCTCTTCCTGCCGGTGTTGGCCGCCGCCGCCGCCGCCATGGCGGCTCCTCTCCCGCCTTTCAGCTTCAACCGTCCCTGAGGCATCTTTCGCGCTGCACTGTGGGTAGGAGTGAGGCACCACACACACCGCCCTCTCGGCGCGCGCTGCACTGTGGGTAGGAGTGAGGCACCGCCCCGCCCCCTCGGCGCGCGCTGCACTGTGGGTAGGAGTGAGGCGCCACCCCCCCCCTTCCCTTTTTTCCCGGAGCGCGCTGCGCTCTGGGTAAGAGCGAGGCACCGCGCAGCGCGCGCTGCACTGTGGGCAGGAGTGAGGCACACCTCGGACGCCGGCCCCAGGGCGCCCTCTGCAGGCGGTGGGCAGTAACTGCAGGAAAAGCCTTTCATTTCACATTCACTCACTCACTCACCCTATAGAATCAAGGTCACCCTATAGAATTAAGGTCATCCCATAGAAACAATGTCACACTGTAGAAATAGGTCACTATATAGAATCGAGGTCACCCTATAGAATCAAGGTCACTCTGTAGAATTAAGGTCATCCTATAGAATCGAGGTCATCCCATATAATTAAGGTCATCCCATAGTCAAGGTCATTCTACAGAATTAAGGTCATCCTATAGAATCAAGGTCATTCTATAGAATTAAGGTCATCCTATAGAATCAAGGTCATTCTATAGAATTAAGGTCATCCTATAGAATCAAGGTCACCCTGGACAGATAGACTGTACACAGAGAAAGATACATTTGACCCCATTGTAAAGACTCCTCTAATGATGATATCGTCTGACACGCCCCGTCTTTGAGACGTCTCATTGGATTGACCGTACGGTGGAGTGACTGCGAGTTTTGTGGGCGAAAGGCGGCAGACAATTCGCCCCTCCTCCCCCCCCACCCCCAGCAAGCAGGCGCCCCGCAAACCGTCGTGGGTGGAGCGACCGCATTATCATTATCACCTTGATTTATTTATAAAGGGGAATATTTCATCCCGAGTGAAGACTCGTGCGTTTGTGTGTGTTATATGTGATAACGGAGACGCAGAGATACGTAAAGTGCAGTGACTGTGTGCGTTTTGTGGGCAAACTGCAGCAGATGTTCGTCATCCTGTAGAACTTCACCCCGGAGAAACCCTTCATCCTGTAGGAATGTTACAATGATAGATAATAATGCTACAGAAACGCCCATTCTATAGAAACACCATCGTATGGAAATATTTAATCGTATAGGAATATGTAATGAATTAAGAGACGGGCGACAGGTGAAATTCCGCGCAATTCTGATCTGAATTGCCGTTAATTATTACCAGTGATTAAAAAAAAAATGTGCTTGCATTTGCTACAGCGTCTCTTTGGGAAAAAACGCGCACTTATCTGAACGAGATCGGCCGAAGCCCCTTTTCTTTCCTCTAAGCGTTTGTTACGAGTGGGTGTAAAGGTCGGTGGGTAACTCCCCAACGCCCGTCGGAAGCAAATGAACCAGACTTTTTTTTTTAAATTGCTCCGTAAGTGACGGTCAACTCACTTCACAGTGTATCCTGAAGCGCTTCGAGACGACTCAAAGTCACGATAAGCCGCTGCAAATGCAAACATTATTAGTATTATTACTATTATTAATCATAGTGGAGTCCTGTAGCTCAGTGGTTAGAGTGGTGGTTAATGGGAGGAAACCGTCACAGAGACCGAAACGTCACAGAGCCTGAAGCGCAATAACGGTAATAATCCTTGCGGTCGATGCAGAGCCTCGTCGCGTCTTCCGAGACGCCGCAAAGCGCTTCGCGGGATGCACTGTAAAGTGTGGTGACTGTGTGTTTTGTGGGCGAAAACGCCCGCGGCAGCCAGTGGCGCGCAGCAGCGTCCCCGCAAACAGCCGTGGAGCGAGTGGCCAAATCATTCTTATTTTTGGTAGGGACCGTTACCTTATTAGGTGCTGTTATTATTTGGGTGCCAGATAAAATGCAAGTTGTTGCTGCTGTCGTCGTCGTCGTCGTCGTGATGTACAAACCAAGGGTTTGTGCATCGCGGCAACGACGCCAACTTGCAATCATTTTTATTCTGTGGTCCCTCAATCCCTCCTTCGCTCGCTCCCCACCTTCTAATCCCACCTAAAGACTCTTTAGATCGGTCACCTCACCCCCTCCCTCCCTCCCTCTCCCCGACTCGCTCGGGGGTCAGACTCCGCCACTTTCAAGCGCTCGGGGATACCAAGTACAAGTTGCGGTTGACTGTGTGGTCCACACGGGAGTCAGGACGTCTTTAAGGCTCGACTGAGTGCGTCCCCCAACTCCGCCGGCCTGTGTACCCCAAACTCGGTGATAATCCCTCCCGTAATGAGCTCGTGAGGGGTGACGTCGAAGGCGGGATTCCACACGTTAATACCTGTGGGGAGGCAGAGAAGGGGAGAGGGAGTGAGCCAGGGAGAGAGAGAGAGAGAGAGGGAGGGAGCGAGGGAGCGAAAGAGAGAGAGACACTCACCCAGAGAAAGAGGGGTAGACACAACGCAAAATAAAATGATGTCATTTTGTTGTTGTTGTTGTTATGACCCATCCCCTGACCCCGAACCCTAAACTCCGGCCCCTGAACCCCACCTCTTAACCCCCAGCCACCGGCCCCCCCCAGCCCCTGACCTCCAACACCTGAGCCCCACCTCCTGAACCGCAGCCCCTGAACCCCACCTCCTGACCTCCAGCCCCTGAACCCCACCTCCTGAACTCCAGACCCTGACCCCCACCCCCCGATCCCCAGCCCCCGACCCCCAGCCCCCGACCCCCACCTCCCGACCCCCAACCCCCGACCCCGGGCTTTACCGTGAGCGGCGATGGGGATCCCGTTGATGGACGTCAGCTCAGCGGGAGGGCGTTCCTCGATGACGATGGCGTCCCCCCGGGGCAGCGCGGGGTCCCAGGTGCTGCTGGCGGCCGCCACGTAGAAGGGAATCGCGTGGTACTGGGCAGCGATGGCCAAGAGGAAGGTCCCGACCTTGTTGGCCGTGTCGCCGTTAGCAACGACGCGGTCCGCTCCCACCACCACAGCTGCGAGGGGAGGGGAGGCAATCAGCATCGCAGCCACGTGCCCCCCACCACTACCCCCGCCCCCACCCACCACCCACTGCCCCGCCCCTGCCACCCCGTGCCCCCACCACCCCTGCCACGCCCCCGCCACCCCCTGCCCCACCACCCCCTGCCCCCACCACCACAGCTGGGAGGGGAGGCAATCAGCATCGCAGCCACGTGCCCCTCATCACTACCCCCTGCCCCCACCCACCACCCCCAGCCCCTGCCACCGCATGCCCCCACCACCCCTGCCACGCCCCGCCACCCCCTGCCCCCCCCTGCCCCCGCCCCCACCACCCCCTGCCCCGCCCCCACCAGCCCCCGCTCCATCCCCACCACACATTGCTCCCCCCCCCCAATGGCCCCTTCCCATCACAACAGTGTGCGCGAGCGAGTCTAGGGGTCAGGGTTTACCGTCGAACCTGAAATGCCTTTGTCCTTCATGGCGATGGCGGCCATACTGTCGGCGATCAGCGTGCCGGGGATGTTCTCATGCACGAGCTCGTACGCGGTCAGCCTCGCCCCCTGGTTGTAGGGCCGGGTTTCTGTGCAGTACACGTGCTCCAGCGCCCCCGCCGCGTGGAGCGAGCGGATTACACCTGAGAGCGAGGAGAGAGAGGAGAGAGAGGAGACGGAGAGAGAGAGGGGAGAGAGAGGAGAGAGAGAGAAGAGAGAGAGAGAAAAGAGAGAGGAGAGAAGAGAGAGAGGGAGAGGTTAGAGAGGGCGAGCGGTCAGTCAGCGAGGCGGCTGACATTAACATGAATAATAATAAGAAGAATCCCGGCGTTTGACCCGGAGCCTCATCGCGTCTTCGAGACGCCGCAAAGCGTAGTGACTGTGTGCTTCTGTGGGCGAAACGCGGCAGCCGATCGCGCCCGGCGACGTTCCCCCGTCCCCCCCAACACATCAGCCGTGGGCGGAAGCGCCCGAATTTTTCTTGCGTTTTTTTTCCCCCCCTCTTGAGGCGTTATTATCAGGCGCGGAGCGAGGAGACTTGGCCACGGTTTCACTCCCCCCCCCCCCCCCCCCCCGGTCGGGAATCGAACCCGGGTCCTCTCTCGCTCGCTCTCTCGCTTGCGAGGGGTCTGACTCCCTGAGCTACAGGGACACCACAGTCCTGTTGTGAGGGTGGGGATCGAGCTCTCGCGCTCTCTCTCTCTCTCTCTCTCTCCCTCTTTCTCTATCTCTTGCTCTCTCCCTCTCACTTTCTCTCTCTCACTCTCTCCCACTCTCTCGCTGTCTCTCCCTCCCTCCCTACCTCCCATTCTCTCCCTCTCTTGCTCTCTCGCTCTCCATCCCTCTCTTGCTCTCTCCCTCTCTTGCTCTCTCCCTCTCTTGCTCTCTCCCTCTCTCCCTCTCCCCCTCCCTCTCTCTTACCCAGCGCAGTTCCGTGCCCAGCGGTCGCCAGGGAGCCGGTGTTGCAGTGGGTCAGGATCCTCACTTTCCCTCCTTTCGCTCCAGCGAGGATGTGATCTGCTCCGTGTTTTCCGATCTTCAGGTTGTCTTGAACGTCCTTCTCCAACATCGCCTCAATCCGGCACAGGAGGCTTCCGGGGGGGGGGGGGCGGGGGTTTGGGGGAAAAAAACACAAGATAAGGTCGACCCGGGGGTGGCTGGTGGGTCGGTCGGTCTCTGCCTCCGCGTCAGAGTTTTGTGGGTTCGAGCCCCATCACACGCACGCCGTCGAGTGCAGTGACTGCGGATTTTGCGAGCGAAACGCGGCAGCCGATCGCGCCCAGCGACGTCCGTCCCCCCCCCCCACCCCCACCACACAAACAGCCGTGGATTGAGCGACCGAGTTGCGTGTTTTTTAGGGGGTTATTACCCCCCGGAAAACGATCGGCCAATTGACAAGACAACCGGATTCCTACTTCCTCGGAAACCGGAGGCGTGTGCGTGCGTCTGTGCGTGCGTGTATGGGCGCGTGCGTGCGTACATGTGCGTGTGAGGCATGTGTGTGCGCGCGCGCGTGCGTGTGTGTGCGCGAGGCGTGTGCGAGTGCCGACGGCTGTTCCCGGGGCCGGGGCTGACCTCTCTCGCAGTGACTCCGCGCTGGTCTCGGGCCGGGCGGCCTCCAGGGACAGGAAGCTGTTCAGCTCCCCGGCCGCTCGGGCCAGGTTGACGGCCGTGGGCCGTGCGGTCACCAGGAAGCCAACGCGTCCAGGACGAAGGTCACCATCTCCTGCTTCCCCCGACTCGCCCCCCGCTCCCGCTCCAGCTCCACCGCCAGGCTCAGGCAGCCCACCACCGCAATGGCGGGAGCTCCGCGCACCTGAGAGGGGGAGAGGGGTAGAGGGGGAGTGGGTCTCAGGTCATCACTGACATCCTTTCCTGCGCGTAACTTTCATCTGGGTCGCCGCTGACATCACTTCCTGGTTTGTTCCCCTCTCTTACCTTCTCCTCCCCACCCTTTCCCCCCTTCCCCCCCTCTCCACCCCTTATCCCACCACTCCACCCCCACACCCCCTCTCCTCCACCCCTTCTATTGCCCTCTCCCTGTTGGGGAGCTGCTGTGTGTGTCTCTGTCTGACTGAGCTTTGATAGTAACACACACATACACATATACACACACATACACACACACACATATACACACACACACACACACATATACACACATACACACATATACACACACACATACACACATACACACACACACATATACACACACACACATATACACACACACACAGATACACACACACACATATACACACACACACACACAGATACACACACACACATATACACACACACACATATACACACACACACACATATACACACACAAACACACACATATACACACACACATACACACACACACATACACACACACACATATACACACACACACAGAGATACACACACACACACACACATATACACACACACACACATACACACACACACATATACACACACACCACGTGTTTTGGGAAGAGAGAGAGAGAGAGAGAGGGAATGGCCGCAGTGCCCGACCTTCATGTCCCTGATGGCCTCCCAGCCCTCCTGGACGCCCCGGATCTCCTGGTATCGGGTGGTGTGCGGCAGCAGCAGTTGGTCGAGGATGTGGAGGCGGCCGCGCCGGTACCTGATGGCCTCCAGAGCCATGGCCCCACGTGACACAACGTCCCCCCACGTGACACGGTGTCTCCGCCCACAGCCAATCACAGGCCACAATGTATCCGGCGGCGACTCAACAATGACCCGCGCGATACAATGTATCCGATCGAACCGCCGCCGCCGCCCTTTGTTGTCCGATACAATGTATCCGACGTGTCGCCGGAACGCGTCGGCCAATCACGGCCCCGTGTTCCCGCCCACGTGACGCGGGACCCGCCCACTGACCCGACGGACCCCGCCCACTGACCCGACGGACCCCGCCCACTGACCCGACGGACCCGCCCACCTGACGCGGGACCCGCCCACGTGACGCGGGACCCGCCCACGTGACGCAATAAAGATTTCTGCCTTTTTAATTGACAAACACTGAAGTCGACAAAGTGCCCTTTTCTTTGCAGTGCAAATCCTGTGAGAAGCGCTTTTCAGACGTCCCTCTCAGCGGAACGACAGCGCTGCGTCTCAAAAGGCGAAGAGTATTCCCTTCGCCATTGCTATCGTATCCGCCCTCCGACCCGACGGAACGATTCGGTTTATAATAATAATAATAATAATAATAATAATCCTCGCATTTGATATAGCGCTTTTCACGTCGGGAGAGGACGTCCCAAAGCGCTTCACAGAACACACTGTAAAGTGAATTGACTGTATATTTGTGGGCGAACGCGGCAGCCAATTGCGCACAGCAATGTCCCACAAACAGTCGTGGGTTGAAAATGACCAATTTATTATTGTTTTTGGTTTGGAGGGATTATTATTAGGCTCTGTGTGGAGTAAGGAAACTTGCCCGAGGTTTCGCCCTCTGCCTGGAATTGAACTCAGGTCTCTCGCTTGCAAAGCGAGTGCTCTAACCACTGAGCTACAGGACTCCAAATCCGCCTCACGCACTCCCAATAAAAGCTGCATTTAAGTCAGTGGCGTCAACGGACTTTTATTGATAACGTTGTTACAGCAACTGCTCGCGTTCGCACAGCGGGGCAACGCCTCGGAGGGCTTTAGCGGCGGCGGAGCCTTGAGCCGAGCCGAGGGTGGGGGGTGGGGTGGGGGGATGGTGGTGGGGGTGACCGTCGGCGCGGTCGGTTGTAGAGGAAAAAAAAGTATTTAGGTGCGATCTGAAGACGGGCAAAGAGGAAAGAGGGTGGTGGGGGTTGGGGGTGGGGAGTGGGGGCGGTGGGCCGAGACATCGGGATGGAGGGAGAGGGTGACAGAGGTTCGGGGCTGAAGGCACGGCCTCTGATGGGGGGAGGGGGGGGGAGCGGAGGGTCGATGGGGGGGACAAAGCGTTGCCAAGGGCTCAGCCACCCCCCTACTGCTCGGTCATGCCCACGACTTGCCAGGAATGCACAGCCTTCGGTTGCCATCAGTAACGAACGACTCGCTTCCCTTTGGCATCGAAACACATTCGCTCAAATCTCTACCCTTCTCACATGCTCTCTCCCCCCCCCCCCCCCACTCTCCCCCATCTCTCTCCCCCCCCCCCCACTCTCCCCCTCTCCCCCATCTGTCCTCAAACCTCACTCCCCATGCGTGACCTGTTCAGGTGGACCTTAAATGTCGGTCGGAGAAGAGAAGGGAGTTCCTCTCTCTCTCTCTCTCTCTCTCCCTCTCCCCCGGTGTTCTGGCTGATAATCCCCCCCCCCCCCACCCCCAAATAAAATCGGTCACCCCCATCACCACCGTCTGTGGGGACGCTGCTGTGTGCAATTTGGCTGCCACGCGTTTTACCCACAAAACTACCCAGTCACTACACTTTATAGTCTATCGAGACGCCTCAACTGTGCGACAAGGCACTTTATCGAATGCAATAGTTAATTAATGTTGATTATTATGATTATTATGCTTCAAATCCCACTCCCCCACCTTTCCCACTCCCTCCACTAGAACTTTGGTTCCGAATTGGCGTCTGGTGGGGTGAAAGGCGCTGTG